AGTTTTTAAAGGAATTTTGCCAACTGACTAGTTTAGCTAGAATGTTCACATTTATAGTACTTCGTGCTTGTTTAATCTGTATTTCTATAAGTACTCTATGACTCTGGAAAACTAGTAACAGTTTATAAAGTATGTCATCAAGAAACAAAACCAGGACATCCTGATCCCTTTCTCACTGCTTAGCAGCTGTGAAAGGTGAGAAGAATCCAAAAGTAATAAATGTAACAGTATATCTTACGCATTGATTGTACAAGAAAGTAAACCATAATTTGAGTGAATATCATTAGTCAAAATAAATCCTGTCCAGCACCTGAATTAAAGAAAGTTTGTGTATGACAATAGTAGCAGCAAACATATGTGAAAAGGTATTTTATCACATGGTCCCGAAGAAAGGAAAATAAATTGTGGAACATGTTCCTTTTATCACAGAAGCCCATGGGACTGCATAAAAGTAGAAGAAGATGCTCTAGCTGTTAGGTGAGTTGAAGCAGCATTCTGATTGAAGACATTGTCAAGTTGTTACAGAATGTTACTATTTCATAAATAGTCATCTACAGAAGTGGAGATTCATTTATAGTTTATTTTGGAAGTGTGACGAGGGAAGTACTTAAATGACTAAGATTAACTGGAGTTAATCATGGCATGATGTCTTAAATGTGGAATGCTTAGAATTAGAATTACAATAAAAATTCTGTAATACCAATAGTCCCTGTATTGAATGTAATTATCCTTTGTGCGAAGATAATCTGTATTCTGACCATGGCCCAAGACTGTCAGTATTGGATTGCTGTAGATTTTGAGAAGAAAATACATGAGAACTATAGAATATGACCCTTAATGTTCATCTAGTTCAAACTCCCTGCAATCTACAGGGACATCTTCAGGTTGCTTAGAGCCATATCCAACCTGACCTTTAATATTTCCAGGGATGGAGCATCCACCACATCTCTGGACAACTAACTCTGCAGTGTTTTATGATCTTCACTGTAAAAAAGACTTCTTCCTTATGTCTCATATAGATCAAAACCAAGCCCTGCTAAGAAGTCTTCCTCCATTTTTCTTACAGACCCCTATTAAGTACTGAAGGGTCATGGCAAGTTCTCTCCAGAGTCTTCTCTTCTCCAGGCTAAATAACCCCAAGTGTCTCAGCCTTTCCTGATAGGAGAGGTGTTCCATCCCTCCAGTCATTTTTGTCGCCTTCCTCTGCACGTGCCTTGAACTGTGACTACACTTCTTTTGATGCAGCACAGAACAGTATGCCAATCTTCCCTCAATAGGTTGATCTTTCTGACAGTGCTGCTTATGCAGAAGGAGCTGATGTGTCAATAATTGGAGGTCTTAAGAGCCTCGGTAATCAAAAAGCTGGGGATTTCTGTTCCATGCAGAAGTGTGGCAGACAGCTGTTTCTGAAGAAATTTTGGAGATATGGGTTACACTGTATAGCAGGTTAATAGTAGATCTCATCTTCATTTATAGTTATAAACTTTGCTTGCGTGTCACAGAACATAAAATATCACAGAAAGTAGACAGGTGTGTCTCTGTGCAGTTTGAGATCTCCTGCTACTCATAATCTTTGCTTAGAAGTCATGAGTCTTAAAGCGTGAGTTTCATTTCTGTTTTTAATGCCATAATGGAGGGAGAATCACACAAGGCTATAGTTTGTAAACTATACCTTGAAGTAGAAAATGTATGTCATTCAGTGTGGCACATGGCCACTCCAGTAAAAATTACTGAGAGCTATTATATGACAACAAAACACACTTGATGTACTGCTTCATTGAAGATTATTTGTAGGAAGGGTTTTCCAGTCTGTTATATACAAGTATGAAGGAGGAAGATGATATTGCAAGTTAATGTAGTGGAATAAATAATTTAGTTTTTTACAGGATTATTTTGTTGTGCTTAGCCTGATTTGATGACACTGAGCAATCTGTGTTCTGCACTTGAGTTGAAATTCAAGTCTTGTGCAAATAGACTTTTTAAACATTGTGTTTTCATTAAACAAATGGAAGATTGCTGCCTCTATTATCATATCACTATATGTTAAGAACATAGATGAAAGCCAAAAAGATCTTGTGTAACCACAGAAAGAATCATATGGAAAACAAAAGCTTCTTAAACCAAGCATGTGAATTCGTAGATTGTACATGATGGACTTGCAAAGCCAGACTGTAATTTTCATAGCAGACATACATTTACTTCAACGTTTCAGAGAGAAAAAAAGTCTTGAGTAATTAATGTGATATTTTGCTCAAAATTACTCTGAAGTTAATTTTGGGGGAAGAATGGAAGTGTTAATAAACTCTGTAAGGGCTTAGTTACCTACTAAGTATTTTAGAGGGTTTTTTTTCCTGTTGGGCTCCAGGATCGCAAAGCAACCTGATTTTCAGTGCAGAAGCTTTTTTTGAACCCAAACGTCCCTGGGCTTTTTTGTAACTTGCACTGAAACTTTTATTTGTGAAACTTTTTCTTAGCTACTATAAGGAAGAGAAACCTCCCAGAGGCAAGATTTAAATATCTTCTAATGTTTCTAGTCTATTCTGAATTAAGTGGCTGCATTTCTTAATTAATTTCTGTGTTAATTGGCAAAAACAGTATACATTAAATGTTTTGCATGGAAGTTTGGGATAGGCTTTCTCTAGTTCTTACACAGCTGAATTCATGTAGTATTTCTTGAATAGGAATCCAGGGTGTTGAGGGGGGGCTGTGTGAGGCGTGGGGAAGTCTTTGGAGAAGGCTTGGAGGTTTCACAAAAAAGACGGAAGATGGGAGCAGGACATACTAAGTAATTTGAAAAACTGATGATGTCTCACGTTAGAGCGAGTGTGGACTTGCTAATATGTGGAAAAGTATTAGTCACAAGAACTTGTACTATACCTGTTGAATATGTGAAGTCTTTTTTTCTGTCAACTGAATGTTTTCATCTTAAGTTTACTTAAAGTTTTACTGAAAAGAAATGTACAAAGACAGCCATTCAATTGAGGATTAATCACTATGGCAACAGAAATGTGGTGACTAAAAAGGGGGAGGATGTATTCTCCCCTCAGCTTCCTGCCAGCTGTCATATTCAACCTCTGCAGCATGAATTCAGGCCAAAATATAGACTGTGACCAGCTCTAAGAAACTTTATCTGTATTTTTATAAATTTGTACAAGAATTGGACTATAAAGGAAGACTTAATCCCCTGAATTGGATGACAGATATTTGGCACTATTGCCAGTGTTTGACAGAGAAATAACGAGATGCTTTGTAGTAAAACCTGGATTAATGGTAAACCCCTCTTTATGTTATTGCAATGTGGTGTAAATGAGAAAACTAAGCATGCTGTCAGCCTAGGAAAAAACATGCCCTTTGTATCTCCAATGCAGATTTAAGTACTGTTGAGAATACTGTAAATACAAAAGTTGTGTCATTAAGAACTCTGCTTTATCTTATTTGTAGTACACTGACATTTTGTAGATAATTTAAACAAAGACATTCTATCAGTTGTAGGAACTCTGATTGCAGTGTGTTTGCACAGCTTTCAGATTCAACAAGTTTAGATAGTTGTTTACAAAGAGTAGGCTTTTGGGAGATAACATTCCTTTGTTGTTGCTCTTCTAGGATGGGGAAATACTCAGCTTTAAAGTATTGGTTCCCGAACGATTTGCCTGTAATGCTGCTTTATTGAGTTTCCTTGTTCATTTTGCAATGGAATTTACCATTCCACTATTGCACTTTTGGTTGTGTTTTTTTATATTGTAGTGAGTTAGTATGTGGCATTCTTTGAAGCTTGGAGTTTTCATTATGATGTATGTGCATGGCCTTTGGTTTTGCTACTCTTCGACAGGAGGATGAGAGAGTGAAGGAAGATGGGTGCAAGTCCACAGCTGGGATAAACAATTACCTTAAGCTTTGAGTTCTGAGACAGGCTGAGTATCTTCTCTCATTCTCAACAGTAGTGATAACTACATTGATTCAATGTCAGCTTTTTGGTGAAAGACAGTGATAGGAGACACTTCAGGTAAAGGTTCAAAAACTTAAGTAAGATTGCTCCTAGTGAAAAATTCTTGCTCTATTAGCTGATTGTAGATGAAACAGACTCAGAAGTAAATGTGAAATGAGACGGTGCAATCTGTTTTCAGTTGACATAGTAGTCAATTCTCCAGTACCAAGCAAAAGATTAGAGTTTATGGAATGTCGTCTCAGTTTGTTTATGCAGTAAAGCTACATGCGACATACATGGGGAAATGACTACATATTAGTCTAAAATTTGTGTAATTTTATCAGCTTTATTTTATTGGTCTCTTGGTGTTGACAAAATATTTTGGAGGAGTAATTTGGATCCATAATAAATCTTAACAGTTTTATAACTTGAGACATATTTCTGCTGTTAGTCTGCTGGGATACATACAGGTATTAGATGCACTTGTAATCATAGCCAGCATACTTTATTTAACTCAGAAAGCTTGATATGAATATAGTTATCTTAAAGTATTCTAAAATTTTAAGTTAGGTTAGCTTCATTTTTTTAAGACAATTAAGGTACCATCTGTTGGCTATACATAACTTGTAATTCTCATTCTACAACCTTATTTTGTTAGAACAGATGCATTAATTTAGAGACTGCTTTGCCATTAAGAAAGCTAAATTAAAGGAAAACCTAATGTCCACATCAGAAACAATTCTGAAATATTGTAAAATTCAGGCTCCTTTCAGACTGGAATTTATAACTCACCATAAGTCTCTGAAGTACAGTTTGTTCAGTAGTGTGTTCTTGGCAAGCAGAAAAGTAATTCTAGTTTATTTAACAATTCTGGGAAAGTAGATTTTTTGCTAATTGTATTTATTGTCTTCACCATGTGGACCTAATTTTTAAAGAAACTGCATGAAATTTTATGTGGACACTATCACAATTTATCTTCCTTGACATACAGAATAATATAGGAATAAATTCTTGTGTGAGATGTACATGTACTAGATTGCCATTAAAAGGTCCCTTCCAACTCAAACTGCTCTTATCAGTCTGTGTAGAAGAAGAAGAAGGAAACAAGACCAAGAATGGACAGTCAGGTATCAAACATTTCTTGGTACCTTGTGTATGTCCTGGCAGCAGAGAAACATTAGTAAAATAAAAATAATATGTAGCAATATCATATGTTCAAGAAAAGCATATAGAAGGGTCATAATAATTAATATATATAATCAGAAAAACTGTCAGAAAAAAACAAAACAAAACAAAAAAACCCTCCAAACCAGACCAAAAATAACAGAAGGAAAAACTGAAAAAGGGAAAAATATTAGTTTAAATAATTTAGAATTGTAGTTTGTATAGATGAAGGTCCTGGAATTCAGTATCAGGTCATCAGATTAATAGCAATTATCCAAAACCAACTTCAACTCTCAATGTATTGGGAAAGTCATGTGCTTTCTCAGGTTTGGAGGGAAGTTGAAAAATATAAATTAGGATATGACATAATGGTTTGATGTTTGTTCTAAGATGCATTTTAAGAGGTCAGTCATACTGAAATTACTGCGTTTTTTTCTTATGTATTTTTTGGGTGACTGCAAGGCAACTAGACATTTTAGAAGGCCATTCTTGTTTATTATAGAAATGTAAACAATGAAACTGTGCAATGATAAGTATCCTGGATATCTGACAGCAGTGGTTTCATGCACACCTAAGGAGGTAAGTCTTGTAACACTGGGGGCAAGTCAGAAGCATTATTGATGACTGGAAGTCAGTATCTGGCAAGGTAGTTTCTGTAGAGATACTTTGGGTAATAAGGCACTAAAAGAGAGGAAGGTACTTGAACACAGTACAGCTATGACTGAAGAATAATTATGCAAACATTTTCAGATTCGGGCTTCTGAAGACGTTCATTATCCTCCAAGTCTGATTTCTTAGCAAATTGCCACAGACATGAGACAGCACTGAAAAACAAGTATCCCTGAATCTCTGTTTCTCTTTTTTCTCTGCTCATTGGACTCCCAGCTTCTGCCCTCTTACTCTCCCATACCTTTTCATTTTGCTGTATTTAAAAAAGTGAAACATTGTAGTCCTTTGACTTGAAGGGAATAAAGTAAAGGAAGTTACTGGTGTAAGGTGTCCAATCATCTCAGTCATGTCTGATGATGCATATACGTGGACTGTCATTCATTGCTCCAGAGTATAGGGCTGTCTCTTGATGCCTGTTACAAAAAGGACAGATACTGAAGTTTTGTACTGTCAAACATAGACAAAAATTGGGTTTGGTAGGTGTATACATTTTTAGATAACTGCTGTAACTAAGCAGCAGGAGACAGATTGTCATACAGAGCTAACAGATCCAAGAGTTGCAGATTCAAGATAGAATCTTGAAGTAGATATTATGGCTGCATTGTAACACTTACATTTTTGCTTGATGCCTATGTTCATTCATTCAAGGTAAGAGTGTTACCCTTAAATGGGTTGTGTGACACTAAATGTGCAGGTACTCTAGCATTTTTGCTAGATTCTTCATTGCTGCATCCTCTTAGGTAATATATAATTAAAAGAAATCAAAGCTCATTATTGGTATCCAAAACTCAATATATACTTTCAAGACTTAGAGAACTACATAACAAAAGAAGAAGGGATTGAAACCATCATAGACTAAATGGAACATCAAAGGTGTCAATAAATGCTTTATTTGAAGTATTTTTCAGTTGTAGTAAGAATCCCTGGATTTTCTGAATACTTTAGAAAGAGTATATTTCTGCACAACTACTTAATTATCTGTTTTCTTTCCCACTGCAATGTATAAAAAGGGTCTTAAGAGTAAGTGTAGTAGATCAAGGGGGAATAGAAGAAAACAAGGATAAGACAGGAAGCACTGGCTACAATTTTTGTGGGTTTTTCCATAGTTCGCAATAGCACTTCATAATTTCATTTTATTATACTTTCATTAACATTTTCTTTGCATTTAGTGGGATATTTCTGGAGGGTAACTTTTTCTCATTTAATTTTTTCAATGAAAAAACACTGCCTTCTACTAAACCACTTGCATGGTCTTTGTCTTATATGTATGCCTTTAAAAGTAAATAAAGTGTGCATTTCTTTTGAACTTGCTGTGAAGGTTTTCTTGACATAATGGAAGTGCTCAAAGTCTAATAAAGTAAAAATACTGCATTCAGTAATTCAATCAAAATTTTTTATCTTTGATGTCAATGTAATTATTTTGCTGCACCTCCTACCCCTCCCCCCAAGTTTGTGAAAACAGAAATGTATAACAGTGTTACAGATAATTAAATATAAACGAACGTAATTTGTCAGATGACCAACAAGTATTGGTCAAGTTTAAGTGAAGCTTTTCCACTTATCTGTAGAAATTCTATAACATGCACTGTAAAGTGCACAACTACATTGTGTTTCATGTATTTAAATATTTAGTAAAGACTTTCCTACTTGCTGTCATTCTCTCTGTCAATATTCTTTTAACATACAGCAGACACTGTATGCTGCAACATACCGTGAAAGATTTGTTTCCTTTATTATTCCATCATGCAATACCCAAATATGACATGTTGAATGTCACACGAGTGTGACATTCAGTAATACAAACACATTAAATGTGCTAGTGTCTGTAGAAGAACAAGAGTCAGAGCTGAATCAAGTTGTCTTGATTTCAGACTTGCTTTGTGAGATTGTCTTATGCATGTTGTGTGATAATTCATGCAAACATAGCAAGCACTATACACTCAACACAGCATTTCATGTAGAAGCAAGGAGCGTGGACTATGTGGAGTGTCAGTGAAAGGGCTTGAGGAACAGAAGAATATAGAAAACTTGAAAAGAAATTTTCATTTTGTGTGATTTAGAGGGCAAATATTAAAAGATAATTTAAAAGATACTGGCCATGAGAGAAATTAATTTACAAGGGCAAAACAGGAAGTCAAATTCAAAAGAAAGCAAAATAGTGTAGAATGTTGACAATACTGGAATATTGACTGAAGTTTTCACTTTTTGGGTAGTAATGCTAATTTTCATGTCATTTTGCAAGTCTTGCTTATTCATAGACCCTGTCATCCATTGTGTCGTTCAGAGTAATAAACATCAGATTTGACCTTTAACAAACATGGAGATATCTAAAAAAACGAAATATTTTAGGTTTATTAAAAAATGTTTATTTTTTTAAAGAAGTTGTTCCTGGATTTAGGCGCTAGGTGTTGGGATTTCTAAAGCATTTGCCAGTTCAGCAGAGTCAGTTGTGTTTCAGCCTAACTGGGTATCATATAACCAATTGCCTTTGCTCTAGAGAGCTGGGGAGTTTTTCAGGAGTAACTCACAATGGCTGCCTACTTTCACTGGAATTTGCTCCTGCAGTTCTTGCAATAACTTTTTTTACAGTAACTTTTTCTACCTTGAGTTAAAAACCCCCCACCTTTAAACAACTTATTTAAGTAGAAGAAGAGATGCTTGTTGTATGTATTTGGTGGTATTTTGATGTTATTCTTTTGGGTGGTGCAGTGTACATAAAATTTTATGCTTCCAGAACTAAATATTGCCTTTTGTGCATTTATGTGCAATTAGCAATACTTCTAACATTAAATGTGGTTCTCTGCAAAGACAAACAATTTTATGACTCTTGGTGTGTTTACAGCATTTGGCTTTTTTCCCAAAGATATTAAAAAACTTCTATGTTTGAACAAATGTGTAAACCAAAGTATTACTGCCTCTTATACTTAGGTCTTGTTTAATGAGAGGTAAATTGATACACATTTATGGGGGTTAAACATAATTTTAAGACAGGCGTTGACATGTTAGTCTTGTATTCTATTCAAGTTATACTTTCTTGAATTACATTATACAGCCCTGATTTCCTAGCAGAGTGAAAAATAGGCAAGTCTTATTATAGTGAGATTGGAATGAGTATTTTTCATGCAAAAAATCCATAACAATTAGTATTTTTTAAAACTATGATTGCTTTCTACTTTTGAAATACATTTTCTGAGTAAAATTCTGTATTACCCATGCATATGTTAAAAAAAATCAAAAAAGTTAACAAATGTATACAGAACCAGCAAGACAACTGTAGAATATGTTGTGGGTAACATCTACTAATTCAATTGTAATTTTGTTACTAGTGTTATACTGTTATTAGGAGAATAGGGTTTTTCATCTTAATTGGGGTGGCGTTTCAGTGTTGTGGAGAGTAACATAATGGTGAAGTAAAATTTTAATCTTCAGAGCTGTATGTTTGTCTTAAAGTAAAAATTTGTGTCTGTAGGTTCTGTGATATTAACATATCTCTGTATGCTAGTTTGAGCTTACTTACTAAAGTAGTGAGGTGAGGACACATGTGAGACCCTAAAGCTCAAGAACATTGTGAACAGCCCATGAAAATAAAGGAAATGGACATGGATTAAGTAGAAAAACACTGAGAAGAAGCAGCGTAGATCTGAAACCAGATTTTGAACAGCAGATGACAAGGTGTGAATGCAATTTGTAATTTCATCCCTAATGTAGTCTTAGTAGGGGGACTGAGGATATCACTAAGCAGCTATGTTTTGGCAAAGGGGAAATTTTGATGACAATTTTTAAGAATTTGAGATAAATAACTCAGGTTTAAATAGGATAATATTTTTGTGCATGATGTCATAGAACCAAGACTTCATTTCAATGTCCCTAGACGTTTGTGACTGAGTAGGGAGTCTCCATTTCAGAGCTGAATCCCAATCCTAGTGTTCAATCCAGTAATGCTAGTTACAAGGGACAGAATTGGGTGAAGTTGGGTGCATTGTTACATGAGGGGCACAGCTGTTCTAATGATTTCAATGTCTCATTTTACTAGAAAAAATACGAAGTCCCAGAAGACAATACTTCAGAAAAGAAAGTTGTTAAGGAAAAGCAAGAAATGTTGATGAACAGTAAGCAACATCATCTGTATGTTACGCATCCTGTGACCCAGAGAAACAAAACAGTACACAGAATAGGTTCAACCACCTTCTTGATTGGAAAGACACCCAAAAGAATACGCAGGTGAGATTGTTTTGGTGAGTTGGAAATAAAATTGTAAGGTTGAAACACGCTTCCCTTTGAGTAGTTGCATTTGTCGTTATTTCAACCCTACCCAGGGTTGAAAACTACTGTTATTTTCTATGGCAAGAGTGGAACTAGTGGGAAACTTTGACTCACACTACTCTATGAGTACTGTAATTGATTAATAAAATGCATTGAATCCACAAATAACCTGAACATGTTGAGTCAATGGTCATGTATTATGTAACTGTATAGATGTCATCACCATGGGAGTTTGTGATATGTGCATCCTGGGCTACTACAAAACAGTGTTTAAACTGTATAGAAAGGAGGCATTTTATAATGTTAGTTTCTGACTTCCTACTGATTTTGCCCAGATCTCATCACTTATGTTGAATGGCTGTTAAAAAAACTGGGCATTATGTTTTTTATTACTGTGGGGCTCAGTACTTTTTGATATCTCTTTAAGGCTTCCCCCTCCGGTTATTTTTGGGGGGATAACGTTTTTGTTTAGCTTATTTTGGAGGGATAATTTTTTTTTCCTTGTTTTCTGCTTTCCTGGATGATTGGTATTATTAATATGAATATTAAATTCCATTGTTATGCAGATAGAAGTTCAATTAAAACAGTCTGGTGGTTTGTGGAAATAGAAAGTGGAAGGCTGTAGCTAGCTAAGCAAACCTACAGAATAGATATTTGGTATGTATTTTCAATTTTCAAGTAAGTTACTGTATGAAAATTGTTACTATGTAGTGCCTGTAAGCATTCAGAAGTTGTTATATCAGCTAGCAGGCCTCAGTTATCCATATCATTATTGTTGAAGTGCCAATAATTGTTGGGGTCTTTTGCGATTATTGACTCTGAAAATTATAGATATTTATGAGGCATGTAAAGAAAAACTCTTCATTTTAAAAATGTTCAAAATCATATTTAGTTATGAAAAAGTTATTGAGGTAAAATTTTCAAAGGCAGTGAAGGGACCAAGGCTGTTATTCCAAGATCCCAAAACTATATCTAGCAAAAAGCTAAACAAATCACTCTTGAGCATTGAGCAGGTTATCTGTTAGCACCTGCCATGCAGTTAGACTTTGTAGTACATGTGGATGTGCCACGGAGTGAATGAGGATGATTATGTGCTTCAGTTTGTTGTAATTGTAGGGCAGAGTGGGAAACTCTCTGCAGTCACCACACTCAAATAATTGGAGCTAGCCAGTAAAGTAGTATTTGAGGCAAACAGGGTTAAGTCCTACTGCCTTTGATGCCTTTAATTTTAAGTTTTTCTGTTCTCCTTGGATGTGCTTTTCTGATGTGCTAGGGTAATGAAGACAGAACAGTCTTATTCCAGTTAAGAACTCAAGGACAGTTTCTCCAAACTTTAGGCCTTAAGCACAAACAATGTGGAAGTGTGGAGGGTGGGTTCATGCAAATGAGCCAAAACCTATGAAAGTGTAAGATTTTGTGACCAACCCCTCGTTTCATTCCATCTTGGAGCCATCCAGGCAGGGGTCACAACTGTAGCGCTCATATTGCTAGGGTGTGGCTTTTGTAGGCCTTTTGAAGGCCTCTCAATAAATACCCATTTTATTCCCTTAACTTTGTGTGTAGCCTCTGTTCCAGCTCTTCAAGGCATCACCTTTTGGAGCCCTCGTAACAGGAAAGGTGACATGTTTTATATTCTTTCTCCAACATGGGGTTGTAAACCTACCTCTCCAGCTTTCCAGCAAGGTTCCCTTGCCTCAGACTAGAGCTAAATCAACTAGAGTGGTCTGTTTTAATTAGAGCTTGGCTTTTTAGCAGAAACAAGTATTCCATAATTCACTGGTAGGATGACGTGGACAATTTCTCCTGTGCATGCGTTTATCCAATTTTTGTTCAGCAAGTCTTCCTTAAAAGGACTTGGAACAGCCATTTCCTCCATATTTCCCCCACCCCCTACTTAAGGGTGTCAGCATAACACATTTTTCCTTCTTGATAATTACAGGAGACAATTTGAGGAAATGGTATGCCACTTTAATATGGGATCAGTGAAAGACCTTGCAGAACACATTGCAAAAGCTACATCAGAAGCCAGGCAGAAGATGTTGAAGGAATTCTATGTTTCCAAGCATCCAGAGATGGAGCCTTTCTTCTCTCTTGAAGTACCAGCAGAAGCTGCCCATAACTGTGAGGAAAGAGAACTGGGTGCAACACAGTCCAGAAAAAGAAAATCCATTGTTAATTTTGGAAGACCTAAGTCTAGACCTTCATCAGCTAAAGGACTACTTCTCAGTGGAACTACAGAAACACAGACCCAGGAGAGCCATCAAGGAGAAGCAGAACAGCTTCACAAGGACTCTAACTTGCAAGATATGTTTGTTGATGCAAAATGTAAACAAACACCCATTGTTGCTACTCAGCATATCCAAAGAAGAAACAGTCAGGCATTAAGGGATTTTACAGCATCTGGCTCATTAAGCAGTAAATCAGAAATAATTGAGGTGCTACCTGTAAAAAGTTGTGAAGGACAGCAAGACTCAGAAGGAACACAGTTGCCAAAAAAAAGATCCATGTCTCAGTCAGAAAATGGAGAGAGAAAAGCTCAGATTTTCAAGAAAAATTCTTATGTGGACTTACTTGGAGATACCTCTATTCTTGATGAAATCTTCAGAAATGATGGAAATGGGTCTACAGAATCACCAAGGAAATTCTCTTCAGGACAAGCAGAAAAATCAAAGCAGAGACCAAAAGATTTCTGGGATATGCTGAATGAACAGAATGAGGAGAGCCTCAGAAAGCTCACAGATATAGCAGTCGTAGAGAAGCTTTGTGAAAGAGCCCCTCATTCTACAGTGACAGAAGAGAGAGAAGTGTGTGAAAGTTCTCTTTGGAAAAGAAATGAAACTTTTTTGTGGAAAAAGTACAGTGCAGATGATTGAGATGAGCCATCTACTGCTAAATTTTGTAATGTAGTAAAATGAAAATTTTCTGTGTAAATTGCACTATAACTATTTTATTTGAACTTTGGCAGTGTTATTCCACAAAACATGGTAATTCCATGAAATTAAAGGTAAAACAAAGAATTTATATTTATAGTGATATAGAATGACATTTTCCAAGTGTGAATATGTATGCAATTACATATGCAGTGTATAGTACATATGTGCGTAGTCATGCCTATGTACTATATATGGTAACCTATGATATATGATGATTTTATATTAAACTTTTTTAGAATTTTCTGAATGCTCTTTACTTTCCTTAGTTCTGATTATATTCCTGGGCTCAATAGAAGTACTAAGTAATTTTTTCCCTTTACTTCAAATTTGGACATTGTCAGTCATCTCAACACAATTTGGAGATAATAGGATTTGACAATGATACTGCATATATTTTCTGAGGTGCTAGAGTCTGGAGGACTACCTGAGACAGGGATGATGTCTTTGTGTCTAATAGCTTTTGGTGGATTTCCATCCTCCATGATTCTGCTCAGTCTCTAGAGCTGTGGACCTTTGAAATCTTCATAGTATCCTATAAACGTGAGTTTCTGAGCTTGGTTGATGTGAAGAACCACCAATTTTTAGATTTGATCTTTCTCTCATTAAATGATACTGGGTGTCAAATTTCATCTCATTACACTTTCATCTCTTTTATTTTTTACAGACTTCTGTCATGTCTTTGTCAGGGAATATGCAGCACAGTATATGTGTTGGAAATACGCAATACAGTGTAGTAGTAAGGAATTTAGTGTAGTAAGGAATTTCAACATCTTGACAGGTTATCTATCATCTTTCGTGTGGATTGCTGGATGTAATAAAACTTCCAAATGAAAACTATTCTTCATAGATTGGAAGAGTGTAAGATACTCAGGGTTATATCTCATTTGCCAAATAATCTGTTACATTTTTCAGTGCTATGGGACCATGTGAAGAGTACTTTGTAACACATAACTTGAAGATACCAGGGCTTCATGTTGCTCTGGAAACCTTAAATCTAATTTTTGACTTTTGTAATCATTAGTATACAAGTTTACATTGAGTATACTGTATAAATTGTTTCATGTGAAGCGTAAATATTACGAAATTTTAAAACCCTGGACGCTGAACCTGCACAAGCAGCAGTCTGTGAATGGTGGTAGTTTTTGTGGTCTGGAAGACTGCCCACTGGAAAATAAGCTTAAATTTGATCTGGAGCAGCTTCTACTTTAGGTCATGGGAAGCTGTTGTAGACTGCACTCTGTCTCTTTGGTAACCATTGTGCACATATTTTGAATGGAAACTGTCTAAAATCCTGATTGTGAAATCTAACTTAACTACCTGAAACAAGGAGCTGAGCATTTAACATAAATGTTAAGTAATAAAAGCCTTGGGTTTTACAGGTAGCTAACATAAGTAATATTGATGTGTTCCCTAACTTGTTCTTACTCTGAATCTATGCTGTTGCCACTTCATTATACCAAATGGTATAATGGTCAGTTGGAACAGCTTTTAAAGAAAAAGTATGAACTAAGAAAGTAAAAGAAGAAGCTGTAAACTGTTAGTCATTGGTGCATTTGAATTATGTACAGCTAAAGGAAGTCAGTCTAAGCCAGGGAATACCTACACTCTCATTGATGTTAATAAATACAAGATAAATTAAGGCCTTTTGTTTGTGGCATTAGTATTGATTTTCTTTACAGGTTAGCGTTCCTATGCTCAGAGAGGCAAACTGCTCCAGAGGTAAGAAAAAGAAAGTTTGGTAGAATAAAAAATATGGTCATCAAATACATTAAAAAAGAGGAAGGGAATAACCCCTTCGTGTCTACAGCAAAAAGAGAAGTTAAGCAGCTTAAATTACACCAAAGATAATTGAAACTAGATAATAGGGAAAGACTCTGTAGGGAGTTAGTGGGTTGTGTAGTGGCAGTATCTGACATATTCAAGAGTAGGAGAGAAAAATACCTGCTAAAAGTTGCATAGATGAAACTGTCCTTGTTTTAGGCCAGAAGGAGGGACTGATAACCTCTACCTGAGGGCCAGAGGGGACTAGATACCCTTGTTGATTTCAGCTAATACTGGTTTACTGAAGGGAGGCTTCACCTTTGCACCATGTTTGTCAGTCATGGTGTGAGATAGGTAGGAGGAGTCAGGTACTAGAGAGGGCAAAATCTGGTTAGGGTAGGTGAAATTTCTATTGATTCTCAAGTATGAAGCTGTCATAATTTTCCTGAAGTAATCAGGAAATTATGTTTCTCTTACAAGGTAATGGTATGCATAAATCAAAACTTCCATAGATGTGCACGTTTTATTCACATGTATGCCAAATACTGAAGTATATTTGTGGAAATCTTTTTGTTATATGCAATTGAATTGAGCTGTGGGAACATGACCTGAAGTAACATTCATGTCACTCTGTAGGTTACTGCAAATTTAATGTATTTTACAAGGAAATATCACCTAAGCCATAAGTATTGCAACTTAGTGCCCTAGGGATCTGTCTGTAAAATATTTTCATCATGAATATGTCTGTGTAATTTTAAAAAATTAATCTGAACAAATTTTAAAAAGAAGAATTTTACCTACTATTTTTAAAGACATAATCTTCAAATATTGGAACTGAAGAGATCAATTCTGTTGTCTTAGAAATCTGTGGTTATCATTTTATTTGGCTTTAAAAAAAATAATAGTCTGGAGTTCATACTTCCATGTACAGGTTCCATGCAGGGAGGCATGGACTACAGGAAAACTCTAAGAGTCTCCTGGCATAAGGAGATAGCTTCATGGTAGTTGTCACTTGATCTGTATATAAAACATCTAGGCGATGGAGTAGCATTGCTTCCACGTGGAAATTACTTGGTAGGTTTTACTGTTCTTTATTGCAGTTCGCTTGTGTTTTCACTCATTGGAGTTCCTATGAGTCTCGCTGTGGATCCCTGACCTCGCAGGTGGTACCACTATTTCCAGTATTGACTTCAATGGAAATTCTTTGACTGGAAAAAAAAACAAAAAACCCCCCAGATTTCCAGTGAAATAGTAAGAAATTTGGCCCTGTCTATGCTAACAAACACAGCTATCCCAACTACCTTACAAGACCTACTTAAAGCCTGTGCGTTCTGAGTCTGATTTGCAGTGTAGTTTGGATCAGAAGTTGTTTTGCAAGGTGGGGCTATACTTAGAACTGCATTTGGCAGTAGCTGTGTGGTACACAGATTTCATATTCGATCTGAGGGAGGGAGATGAATCATTTCAGGTAATGAATATGTTTGAGAAAGTCGGGGTGTGGATGCAAACATTTGTCAACACATTAAGGCAGCTTGAAAGGATGTATTTGCTTAGCTTCAGCAGGTCATGACTTCGAGCAAAAAAAGCAAACTGATGCCAGTGCCATAGCTTCAGCACAGTGAATAAAAACCAGCATTAAGAAGAGGAAAGGGTGATTGGTAATAACATAATCAAAATATCACAGGATAATTCAAAGGTGATGATACACTTACTACATAAGAAAAATACGATTTAAGTTACTTCCTTAGAAATCTCAACTGCAGACGGAGAAGAGGATTTTCTTCCAAGGAAGCATTTAACTGCCTTTGCTGCTACATATTTTTCCATTCCTGCAGTGTCCTGTGTATTTTACTCACTGCATACCTTCCAGCTTATGCAACAAATGATGTAATACTGTTACAAATACTTTCTTGCCTTGTGTTTGCACATTCTCTACTTCAGTACATCTTGACTTGGTCGGTTCTGTAAAAAGAGATTAGTTACCACTTAAGTAGCTATCATGTCAGAGTCTACTCTCCTTATGAGGGTACCTGAAAAGTAGATAATTAGCTTGGAATGACTAAGGAGATGCAATTTCTGTTGTTGAAACTGGATGTCTAGATTGGAGATGAGAGAGGTAGGCAGTGATTCAGAGCATTTAAGAGGTATGCCACTTGTCCTGTAGATTATGTGTGGATCAGAGCGGTGTCCTTGTGAGTCTGTATCTCTTGTGTGAGTCTGACAGCTAGTTCTGGAACAGGAAGAAAGTTTATCTAAACTGATGATTGGAGGGCTTCAGAGTTTTTTGCTTGGCATCCTAACTTTTGTTTAGTTGGCATCAGAAAGCTGAATTTCTTTTTCAAAGACCAAGTGAAGATGGTGCTCTAAAATAAAAAATGTAATTGAATGTAAGCATGATGTGTATGCATGATACTTGAGGACAAATTGTCTCAGTTGTTCTCCAAGTTTGCCTGAGCTGAGAGGATGGAATTGAGTGGTCAGAACCTGACCTAGTGTCTGTCAACACACAATATGACTGAATTGAGATTGTACACACAACTTGCACAAGCTGGAGTATAAACAGGCCCATTGCACTAAAGCATTGTTTTCTGAAAATACACAGAGACAGTTTAATTACATTACAATTTGCATTGGTCTGTTGTAGCATGTCACAATGACTGAATGTTGTTTGTATATTTAACAGCAACATTCTCAGTCCCTAGCACTATACCCAGTGAAGAGAATGACTAATCAGTGGAGATAGCTGGGATGCTAAACAAATATCAGCTAAACTGAGTGAATCTGGTTTTTTCTTCAACAGAACTGTTTATCCTAGAGGGGTTTTATTCCCCTTTTGTTGTATTGAGTTGTTTCCATCATGTGAATGCTCATGTAGACATGATCTCCCATATCATCCTGAAAATCATTCTATGCTACTTACTTTAAAAACAAATGCCTTATGTCTATTCATGTTCTTTGAGGTAAATGTGCATAGCTGTCATCAGCACTTGCCTCTCCATGATTCATTCTCATGGTTCTGCGATGGAACTTCTGTGACAGTTTCTGCTTTTTCTGGTTTATAATTCCATGGCAAGGAAAACATTCATACTGTGGTCTGATTGGAAATGTGATTTCATTGTCTCTGAGAAAGCTTTTCTTAAAATCTGTTTCATGCTTTTGTCTCTTCACCTCACAGCAGACTCAGAGATTATCTTGCCTTGGTCCCTCGATATGCGTATACT